GTTGAATAAATAAAATAAATAAATCAGTGGCGCTACAACCCTTTTAGGTCTGGCATTAGATTTCTGTATCTGTTCCATGATCATTTGTCAATCTAATAGGCAAGTAGGTGACCACGTGCCTCCTGCTGCAGCTTCCTGTGCCTGACACATGCCGTCGACAACTTGGGTCTAAGGCAAGCCGGTTTTCTCTCGATGTTTTCCTTCACCGTTCGAGCGAAAGTTAAATGCGCACAAAGAAAGAAAGTCCATTGGCCACAGCCGGGAATTGAACTTACGACCTCAGGAATGAGAGTCGCACGCTGCTCTAGATCTAGTAGATGTGTTGAAGGTACTTGATAACTCCTTGGAAGGTAGGGTGAGATTCAGCATCAACCCGCTTGTTACAATCCAATACATTTCGGATAATATTACTTTTATTACTTTGATATAATTTTCCATATTCTTCTTTTATATATAGATCAAAGTCGGGCTTAACACAGGTATTCAATAATATCTTAAGCGTATTTCTAATGAAAGAAACACGTTTTAATAAGATGTTAGTTCTTGATAATATATACTTTATACGAATCTTGTCTTATATTTATTTTATTAAGAATTTTAAAATCTGTAAATATTTTTTTGTTTAAACTACTATCTAATGGATACTTTAGGTTCAATACAAGGTATAAATCGTTGGTGCTTGGTCCAGTTTCCAGTAAAACTAATACAGCATACAATCTAATCACCCATTTAAACACATGAAGAGACACAATAATAAATAGATCGTACCAATTCTTGAAAGGCCGGCAACGCACTTGCGAGCCTTCTGGCCGTGTCCATGGGCGGCGGAATCACTTAACATCAGGAGAACCTCCAGCCCGTTTGCCTCCTATTACATAAAAAAGACACAGAAATATATCTTATCTGTTTTCCTCGCCTATGAACACGAATAATTTGTTTAATAAGAAGACACCTGAAGTAATGAGTAAAAATTAAGATAATATTTTCCTTAGTATGTAGCGTGAAAATGGCAATTTTTCTTGCGAGAAGCGAGAAAATTATCCCATCTCCGCACTGAGAGTGATTCATGGAGGTTAGACTTATAAAGATTTGATCGTAAGCTTTTGTTTACACAATATTTTATAAAATTATTATTTTTGTTTGATTTATAAAATTTTATTGTATTTCTATTTTTTAAATCTTAATATATAATCGTGTTGTTTTAAGTTTGGTTTCGAAAAAAAATATTTCACACATTAGCTAATTTATTGAATAAAACTCACCGAATATATTTCGTCAAAGCTTTGTTTTTAAGTTATAAAATATGCAATGTACGCAGGCTCAACCGCAATTTCGCTTGATTGTAAGTGGTTTTGTGGTGACTGCCTTAAAATTAAACCTGTTTTTGAGGGATATAACATATTTTCAATAATTCTAAATGTTTTTCATCAATTTTAAATCAAAGCTTTAATCACGATTTGTTCTCATTAAACATACTAAAGTACTCTATTTATTTACAATCCAGGTTATATACGTTAAGATTGATACTGGATCTGCTAACCAGTCCATATATAGCCTAGTCGAGTCACCTTCATACAAATATCAATCCAAATATACATATATATTTTGAAAGATAGTTGTTTTAGGAAAACAGATTTATTATATTATAATAAATTTGAGCATATATATCTAGCAAAATTAAGATTGGGAAGAAATATATAGAAAGATTTCATGAAAATATTAATTAATTCGTAAATTAAATATAACATATTATATATATTACATAATAACATAGAGTTTTATAGAACAAGTGTTCGGAGCTTCTTACTATCAGTAGGTCACGAAATGTCACGCTAGTTTCATCTACTATTGTACTTGAAAGCTTTCAGGCAGGTGCATGTTTCGGGGAAATATTAGATTGTTTTATATATATTTAACACAAAGCAGTGATATTGTATTCCTTCTTTCATTAAATATTATAAAGGTAAATATAATCAGTCTTTTGTTTACTACTGCAAAAATAGTATTAATACACAGTTATGGTTGCATAAGACTAACTCCTGAATTAAAAGGTTGTAGTGCTTCTTTGAGTTGAACTCAATTTTAATTTTGTAACACTTGTTTTGCGGGCTCATCTTTAATGCCCTTTTAATTTATTAAATAATATATTTCAAATTTTAGGAAGAAGAACATTTAGTTTTTCATAGTTTACAACGAGTATTGTTTGGATATGTGCCATTAATACTCCTTGCTACGAAAATTACGATAGTTACTCGTACATACTGCCAGAAACTGTTACGATACGTGTAGTCAATTTAGGGACATATTATTATGCATCACATATACCCGACCACTTAATATAATTCAAGTATATCTCCATGTATTTAAGACTAGTAAAAGCAAAATTTAAGTATTAATTGGTAGGCCCTTTTTTACTTATAGTTGTGATTTTTTTGAATAATATGAAACATACCAATTGTTAGTATAATTTAAAAGTTTCCATTATTAAATCTATAGAAACTTAAATTTTAACAACGTAGATTAATAAAATAAAAACTAGTGGCGCTATTCGTGCTCATTTGTTTCTAATAGTCCATAATCAGCCTTATGTGCGACGACGTTAGAAAAGTGCATTACCGGGAATCGAACCTATGACCTCAGGTATGAGAGTCCCATGCTCAAGCCAAACCAACACTGCCCTGTCATATTTAATTGCGTAGGACCAATAAAAATAATAAATTTAACAACAACAAAATATAGATAATATAGTAATACTTCAGTAGCTTAGACAAGTTCAGAAACAATTAATTCGGTGTCGCTATAATCCACTTTGTCAACTCTATGCGACGTGCCACAATGCTAGCTGTTTTCAATTGAATGTTCCAACACAATCGGCCTCTTGTTCTTACTACAAAACTAAGTTATGTTTCATTCTATTTCTTTTTGTTGAGCAGTTTGTAACGTGTTCGGAATATACTATCACAGTAGTGTAAATCACTGTTTAAGATTAAGGTATTATATTTATTGGTAAACATATAAGAAATATTCGAATCAATTTACTTCCTCATGAATCATCTATATAGAAAACATCACGTGCAGAGTTTATGGTGAACAGAAAAGTACGTGGCGGAGGACTTTTTTTTAAAATAATTTGTAGTAATAAGAACCAGTGTTGAACTTATAATAATTGCAAACAGTCTTGTGTGTCTATTTTATTCAAGCTCCAACCTGGAGTTGACTTGATTCTCTCTCTCTACGTTGCGTGGCTATGCGTAGTTTAGAATCTGTATTATGGAGGGTATTCTGATGAACTGTTTGGGATAATTCCTGCCCCGCACTACCTCGTTAGCTTGCGAACTATCGAGCTGTGAAATCGACCTCCTGTGCAGGTCTTTCCAGTTTCCTGGGAGCAGTGGTGTAACAATAGGGTGGCAGGGCTGGCAACATTCCACGGGCCCCCGACCCAAGAGGGCCCCTGACCAAGAGATATCTAATGTTCTATGGATGAATGTGAAGTCTCCAATACGCATTGGGCTAGTGGGCTAGCGTGCGGACTACTGACCATTCCCTCTCGCCTAAGAGAGGATGCCTTTGGCCATTAATGGGACATATACAACACGTAATTGAGTACTCTGAAAATCTCAAAGTTTATTAAAATTAAACTGAGTACAACGTAACGATTTTTACTGATAAAAGAATTAAAAGAATTTGCCACGGGCCCCTGATAGTATAGTTACGCCACTGCCTGGGAGATACAACCTACAAGCTTTAAAAAGCGCATATTCATCTTTTACATGCCGGCACATACCCACTAATATGCATGGGTTGTGGTAGCTGAATATTATGGCTTAATAATAATAACTGTTTCATCGAGAATCAAAGGCAGACGTAAATTGCGTTCTTAAACATTAGTACAAGTTTAGACGAGAGTAATGATAATATTAATAGACATATCATACATACACTTTACCCATTAGAGTGACTTAAGCTCTAATGAATTGGTATAATATGATTTCAGTACAAAGGTTTCTAGAGAGGTCAAAAGGTACTTAACATCACTAAGAGCATTGTTAAGTGTTTCATTATAGACTGCAATAAAAGTACTAATTAAAAAATAATTAATCGATCTTTTTAGTTCGTTATTTATTTGAATCTTCTGAAACGCAGGTGAGTACATACTTATAATAACAGCTCCTTATCGTGTAAGATAAAAAAGAGTTGCTACCCACTTCTTCTCGTGCGTTCTACACCCTTCATTTAAGATCTGTCAGTAATTGTAAATTTAAGAGACATAGTTTATAATTGTACTAAGAGTTACCCCACGGATAAACAACGCGCTGGAGGATCACCTGATGTTAAGTGATACCGCCGCCCATGGACCAAACACTGCCAGAAGGCTCGCAGGTGCGTTGTCAGAATTAAAGAATCGGTTCACTATTTTCATAAAGGGCCCTAACTAGAGTTATGCAACGACGAATTTTGAATTTTAGTTTATTTTTTAGTAACTGAGGCAACTTGCCAGATTCCCAGAAAGGATAAAAATAATTAATACGGCAATTTTTAGAGAGATGAAGCAATTTTATAAAGCTTGACTTACATAATTTCTCTGTCTAGATTAAATAAAAAATTGATACAATTTACTAGCTTTTTTATGTAGTAATAAGAGGCTCACCTGATGTTAAGTGGTACCTGACCCAGAAGTTGTTTTGCCATATGAACATTAATAAAAAATATAAGATGTTTACGACCTATTCTAATCAGACCTACCGAATATATACAAAAGGTTTTATAAAAATCAGTCAAAAATTCTTCGAGGAATTTAGTTACAAACGCTGCTCGAATCTTTTGTTTTATTTATACTTTTATTGCACATTAAAACGAACACGTAGCTCCTAAAAGGGATAAATTTATTTTGAATACTAGCATGATCACAGATTATACTTGAATTGTATTGTAGTTATATTACAAGCTGAAGAAACAATTATACCCACATTCATTTCGTAATATCAACATTAACTCACCCTCGGCTCCGAATTTTGATTTCGAAGTTACATTAGAAAGGTCGTGGGAGACGTCTAATGATTCCTTGCGTTCTTCACGTATCGGATATTCCATTTCAACTCTTAAATTATCAGCGTCGCTCGTCTCATTCCAATGTTTTTCATTGTCACCTCGATCGTATTTATTTGTAGGCAATTCATGAATATAATTCCGGCCTTCGTTCTTGTTCATTGGTGCTGAAATGTCGATCTCGCCCGTTCGTGATCCAGTTTTGTTTACAGTTGAGAAATAGTCGTGGAATATTTTCGATCGCGTCACATCGTCGATTTTTAGTTTCTCCATGGATTCATCTTTACTCTTCCACGATGCGTCTTTAACAGCTTTCTCGTCTTTATCGTAATATCTTTCAGTATTGTCAAAAAAAATTTTATCTGATTTATTGCTTATTGATTCGGTGTAATAATACACATCGTCTGTTACGTTATGCTGTTCTATATACATTTCGTTTTTCCTTCTAAATCTATTAAGAAGGGTTTCATAACTTCTCGTTTCAAGATATATGCCATCGTTTAGATTTAATTCTGAGTTTTTGGAACTCGATATTTTGTTTGTAGCTTTCGGAGCCATTTGGGTACTGAGTATGGGTAGAACTAAGAGTAAATGTAGGGTTAGGAAAAGGGGTGAATACAAGGATTCTCGAAAGGGTGAGTTGCGGGGTGTGGGGTGAGCGCGCCGGAGCCTCATGCCCGGCCGGCGGTCAGCGACGGCTAATCTGGAAAAAAGGAAAAAGTTTTAAATTGCATCACTTCTCTTTAGACCGCTTTATTGTTTTATGTTAAGATTAATTTACTTCCTTTTTCACTGACAGAGATATAAAGGAGAATGATTTTTATGAAACGTCAATGTCTCTTAAGATTAATAATGTTGATAAGAGTTTGATTTTTTGCCCCCCCCCCCCCCGGGGGCACCGGCCGCCCCCCCAAAACCTTCCCCCCCCCCCCCCCCCCGGGCCCCCCCAAAAAAAGGGGGTTGTTTGCCCGGCCCGCCCCCCGGGGGGGGGGGGGGGGGGGGGGGGGGGGGCCCCCCCCCCCCCCCCCCCGGGGCCCGGTTTTTTTTTTTTTTTTTTTTAAGAGTGTTATTTTAACCACCTCCTAGGTAGTACTTCGGTTTTGTTCAAAAGTATTTTTAAGGTAGGCACGCGGCTCAAATTAAGTTACTGAAGTGCGTTAAGCCCAAGTAATGTTTATTTTCTGCGCATATAATACTTCTTAAATTAGTATTGTACTGGTAAATGAAAACATTGTGAGTAACCATCCCGACCACAAATCCCAGCCTGTCAGGAATGGAAGGCTGATCTTACTTTGCAAAAACTCATAATCTGAGGCAGGGCTGGCCAAGAGTGGTAACGCCATTGGATGTTTAATGGGGTCGTGAACCTATTTCAATCTTTAATTTATCGATAAAGAACAGAGCGTTGCATTATCTCAGTTACAAGTAAAACATAAAACTCCCATAAAATATAATTTGCATTTTTTTCATTCTTATAAAATGTTTCTATTTATGAACTTGAAATTAAGAGACACGATATTCTATATTGATTCAGACAAAATGAATAAAATAAAACCTTATTCTTTTCTCTCATTAATTTAAATTAAATATTTAATTATAGTGGGTGTGCCATCTATTACTTTTTTTACCTATGAGTTTATGTGCTACCATGTGATTCAAATGTCATATGGTATGCATATATAATTCGATTACACCTCATAAAAAGCGTGTTGTTTTTTCGAATAGAAAAAAAATAATAGATGACGCACCCTTTATTATTAATTCAGCGACTAACTTTGGGCGTCGAATAAAAACTAACCTACTTACAAAAGTGGAAGCAAGTCTAGTACTTTTGTTGCTGCAGTTATCTTTCTAAGAATAAATATTGAAAAGTAGTAAGTGTGAACATTAGACGGAGTCGGTACATAATGAAAACATCTTCTCTAACGCGTATTTCAATAAAAAACATCTGTTACAATACTTCAGCTAAGTGTTCTCAAGATAATAAATGTGTAGGCGGCCTCAGAAAAAGAAGACATTTTTTGTTATCGTAGTTTGCTCTTTGGTATGGAAGTATTGTTACTTCTTTAGGATTGCGATCCATTTTTTTATCTCAAGAAAATAAGATATTACATACCTAAAATATAAAGATAATAAAATTTCTTCTTGGGATCTTAAAAGTACCTAATAACAGCCTTGCGATTCTGTAACTCACTTTTCGAACTCTCACAGCGGTTTTCGCATCGGCGGTCGCGCTCAAATCAGTCGTGAAGCAGTCATTTTATGATTTGGCATTCTGATAAGGTGGGAGCTTGTAGTTTATTGTTTATCAGAATGACAAATCGTCAAATGACTCCTTTACGACTGATTTGAGCGCGACCGCCGATGCGAAAACCGCTGTGAGAGTTCGAAAAGTGAATTACAGAATCGCAAGGCAGCTGTGCAAACTGTGTCTGATTCATTAGTATTTTTTCTCAGTAAGCAAATAGGTGCTTGTTTCCTCATGTTCTACTTTATTAGGAAAACATTTTTTTTTGTTATCTCTCATAATTTTTTTTATTTAATTATTGTTATTTGTGTGTGTTTTTGTTAGTAATAAATGTTATGTCTATGTCTATGTGTCTAAAAATCGATTATTTAAATACACGATCTCTGGTCCACAGTCACGTTCCTAGTGTTAGGCTAGTTGATCTGGTTCTTAGGGTAGGAAATTAAAACTCAATGATGACTTGATTTACTATATTTCACACACTGACCCTACGTAAATTACAACACCAACGAACAAAGGAATGGCCTGTCGCATGTGTTACAAGCTCTTTTATCATCTAGTCCCCACTCTGACTCGACCTTCCCACTTCGGGCAGTTATTCGAGTCAATTCGTAACAATTCTAAATAACCGAACGAGTCAAATGAGTAATTATTGCACATGCGCACTTGTAGCAAAAGAATATGTTTCATAAATTATTTAGAATATAATTAAATAAATAATAAAAGCTAACAGTCGGCCTTTCCTGACAATGTTTGCGTCTCGCAAAAAGAGAAAAAAAAAAAACAATAAAATGCTTTGTAAATTACAACTCCAAACAGAAAAAAATTAATTCTATGTATCTTTTAACTTTCATTCTTGAATTAATCTCTTTAGTTAAATTAACCTTAATTCATTTTGATCTCACACATTGTTTATGTCTAATGGAAAATAGGTTCACCTATTCACGTCATAAATATTATCGGTAGAAATCCCTATTCATCGGCAAAGAAGACATGGGGTGTAGGCCGAGAGAAAAACCGGCGTAAAAATCTCGGTACTCTTTTTAAATATCAAGTCATCAATAATTAACAATAGTCTTAATTCCAAATCTACTTGACCTCTTCAATTCACAATAGTCTTACATATCCAAATCTACTGTGACCTCTTTACATTCACAATAGTCCTACTTCCAAATCTACTTGACCTCTTACATTCACAATAGTCTTACTATCCAAATCTACTGTGACCTCTTTACATTCACATAATCGGACACATCCAAATCTACTGTGACCTCTTACATTCACATAGTCTTACATACATAATAACTAAATCTTTTGAGATCTTTTTATGTTCACAATATAGTTTACATGACTAAATCTTTTGAGATCTCTATATTTACAATATATTTTACATAACTAAATCTGTTTTATTTCTTATAAAATAAAGTTTACATCACTAAATGCATTGTGGTCTCTTTAAATTCACCATAAAGTTTACATAACTGAATCTGTTTTGTGATCTCTATTCACAATAAAGTTTACATAAATAAATCTGTTTTATCTCTCTTTAAAATAAAGTTAAATAACTAAATGCATTGTGATCTTTTTAAATTCACAATAAAGTTTACATAAGTAAATCTGTTTTATCTCTTTACATTTAAAATAAAGTTTACGTTACTAAATGTATTGTGATCTCTTATATTCACAATAAAGTTTACATAACTAAATGCATTGTGATCTCATTAAATTCACAATAAAGTTTACATAAGTAAATCTGTTTTATCTCTTACATTTAAAATAAAGTTTACGTAACTAAATATATTGTGATCTTTTGCATTGTGATCTTTAAAATTCACAATATGTTAACATAACTAAATCTGTTTTATATCTTATATTTAAAATAAAGTTAACATAACTAAATGCATTGTGATTCAATATTCACAATAAAGTTTATATAACTATATCTATTTGATCTCTAATATTCACAATAAAGTTTTATGATAAATCTATTGTGATCTATTTATATTTACAATAAAGTTTAATTATTTCTTTGTGATCTCTTTTTACAATAAAGTTTATATAACTTATCTATTGTGATCTCTTAATATTCACAATAAAGTTTTTGACTAAATCTATTGTGATATCTTTATATTTACAATAAAGTTTACATTACTATATCTATTGTGATCTCTTAATATTCACAATAAAGTTTATATAACTATATCTATTGTGATCTCTAATATTCACAATAAAGTTTATATGACTAAATCTATTGTGATCTATTTATATTTACAATAAAGTTTACATTACTTATCTATTGTGATCTCTTAATATTACAATAAAGTTAAATTACTTATCTATTGTGATATTTTTATTTTCAAAATAAAGTTTATTAACTAAATGCATTTGATATTAGATTTAGTTATGTAAACTACCCATATTACAATATAGTTTACAAAACTAAATCCTTTGAGATATCTTTATATTCACAATTAAGTCCTACATAACTGAAACTACTGTGATCTAAGATCACAATAAAGTTTTACCAAACTAAGTCCATTATGATCTCTTTTATTCACAATAGTGAATTTATCATGTGAAATTGATATTCGTATATGTTTTAATTGTACTTTATAATTTATATATTTTTTTGTAAAACTTATGTTTACACAATTGTCACACATTCAAGATGTAAGATTTTGTAAAATAATTAGTAGATCCAGTACTGTGTGTGATGTCGTAAGCTTATTAATAAATAAATAAATAAATATTCTAGTCTGTGTCAATTATACGATAAACTATTTGAGTTGACGTGAGTACAAAGTACACATGTCAAAAGTGAAATTCTTTGTAGTAATTATTGAGTAATTAAGCTTGAATCCAAATTTAATTTTCCCAGTCTTTCTTTTTAAATGATACCAAGGCTATTAAAAACCAGAGCTAAAATTAGTTCTTAATATAAGAAATTACTATCATAATTGCTTACTAATGTCCACATTTTGTAAAATACCACTGGGTCTTAGCAAAAGGTCCAAAACCAACAAAAAAAAAAAATGGTAATTTTTTTCCCATAATAAAATAATAATGATATTGATATGTAGGTATTAAAAACACATCGGTGTTCAAGTCTCAATCGCTCTCTCCTCTTCTTTGACAAAAACTGCACATTTTCGTGCCGTTTCGTAAAAATTTTACCCTCATGCGCTTCACTTCAGAAAAATCTTATCAAACACAACAAATACTTGAACTTTACTACTAAACCCTACTTCTTTAGAGTATTATTTTTCATCAACATATTATTTCAACGCACTCAAAACTTACTTATTATATTAAGCCATCACTTTTATTAGGATACCACTTCTGGAGATGAATTAAATGTAAATTACATCAAATATTTGAATTACTTTGTCAAATACAACTCATTGGTAACGTCAAGATCATACAATAATTTTCTTACATTATTAAATTTCATTACAAATTAATCAATTCTGTTTTAAGATATTTTATCATCAGACATAATGAAATATTTCATTCTTTAAACCAATAATAAAAATAAAATAAATTTAAACTAACCAAGTATTGATTGGTTTGTAGGGAATACATAATATGTTAAAAGGTTATGTAATTTTGAATTTCTAACAATAGCACAGTAATAAAAAAACAAAGCCTTAATAAGCAAGTTAAATTGTCGACATGACGTGACATCGAAGTTTCAGATTTGTTAATGAAATTGAGACTTATGTCTGTTGAGTCTGTATCAAAAGAACTGTAATATACCCAAAGTGAATTACCGCAAAAGAAATGTCATGAAAGATAGGCTCTGCAGTATGTTAATTCAGCAAGTCTTACTCAAAGATCAAATTCTTTTCAACAATCCAACTGAATGCTCCCAAACATGGTGCATTAAAATTAATACGGAGGATAACTAATTCCTCCTTAAAACCTAAACTTGCGAATGCTTGGTTCTTATATATTTTAAATCTCTAAAGCAAAAAAATTAATAATTTAATACCTTTTAATATACAGTCTTACTGTGTCGTTGTCCTATCGAGTTATCTTACCAGGTATCTTTTTCATCTTTTACCCTTGCTCTCATTAAGACCAGAAATACCATAGCTTTCTAATAGTACCCTGATGAGGCCCTTTAAACAATACCCATGACTGAAATATTATCCAATTGATTATTATCGATTCGCGGTAGAGGGCTCGTTGTTGTTCTCATGTTAAGATCAGTCCTTCAGTTCTGGTTTTTTATTTTTCCGTTCCCAGTTTGATACTCTGTAAGGCCGTATTACGGGTAATAAATTTCGCTTAGCTTTATCTTAATTTCTGTACAAGTTTTAAACAATCTAAAAATTATTTAAATCCCTCAAAATAAGTATCTATATTTTATTCCATTTCCTTATTAACGTTAATCATTAATATATTAACAAATTAACGACTATTAAACAGTAATACGCTTTTACTGTATCATTCTTTTAAATTCATTTCACCATGTCAAAGCGCCAAATGGCGCCAATGTCAGCTGCCATTATCACAATATGATTAAGCAATCACATCAAATTCATAACTATTAATACTTGCGGTATAAACAAAGGTAAGTAAAAAAAATAGACCGAAGCATTTTATTACTACTTCAATACCTATGAAACTGAAAAACAATTAATGTTAAACTCATCATTTGAACTCAAAACATTTTCGTTTTCCTCTTGAGATTCTAGACATCAAATTTGTTCTGAATCTTTCTTTGAATAACGCTACATTTGTCCAATCGATTTTAAGAAATATCTTCTAAGTTTGACTAACGATCTACTAATTGTCTCGCCACGGACTTAAATTTGTAGCCTTTTCGTGAGATATATAAACTTCATTTAGACGTACACCGATACTATTTTGCGTCACCTTACTTTGTAGTGCTTGAGGCAACGCCTCTAGCCACTCGATCTGCTGCAGCTTCGTGGTAAGTTTAACTTACTACTGCCCTATACCTGCACCTACTGATTGGAAAGCAATCTTTAGTCTCACCAATGAAATAACATAAAGTTCGAATTCTATATGCCTCGTCCTAAAACGACTTCGTAATCAGGACTAAAACCTGGATTCTATTGGGTCTAGTCATACTGGAAACAATCGTTACACAAAAGAAAAACATTGTACATTTTACTTAAGATCTTAATCTATAAGGATTGGCGTCGTTTCTAAGTACAAAGACACTCTTAAAATCAAATAAATTTTTTATTAATATTATTTAAGATAGTTTAGAATATTATTCAAGTAGTAATAAAAAAAAATTGTTTGTATTGATTTTATATAAAACATTTAAGCTTTAATTACCAATAAAATATATTCAAACAATACGTTTCAATTGAATTTTCGTATAACAAAGTCATATATAATATTAAACTGACCTTCTACGATAAATGGCGAAAATTATTGTAAAATTTATTACTTTTGTAAATACCTTAATATTAAATAACTGAATTCTAAAAATGAATAATTATTTTAAAGTAAATTATATATGTAAAAACCTTATTATAATAACAGTCACTAAATAATTTCTAAAAATGGTATATATATAAATTGAAATAAATTAGTTCTGTAAAAATATTATAATATTAAACCGACTTGAAACTTCTAAAAATAATAAATTAATTAAATTAACTATTATATTTCAACTTGTCAAATTTCAAAAATGGTAAAACATTTATAATAAAGTAGTCTGTAAAAATAAAACTTTATTAAAATTTCAACTCACCAAAAACCTCTAAAAAAAAATGGTAAAATTATTATTATAAAAAAATAAATTAGTTCTGTAAGAAACTTATTATAGTATTAAATCGGCTTGGAACTTCTAAAAATAAGAAATGAATAAATTATCTTATTAATATTCAAGTTGCCTAATAATTTCAAAAATGGTAAAACATTATAATAAAGTAGTCTGTAAAAATAAAACTTTATTAAAATATTCAACTCACCAAAGAACCTCTCAAAAAAAATGGTAAAATTAAAATTAATTAGTTCTGTAAGAAACTTATTATAATATTAAATCAGCTTGGAACATCTAAAAATAATAAATTAATTAAATGTATCTTATTTAATATTCAAGTTGCCTAATAATTAAAAAAAATGGTAAAACATTTATAATAAAGTAGTCTGTAAAAATAAAACTTTATTAAAATATTCAACTCACCAAATAACCTCTAAAAAAAATTGTTAAAATATGAGACAAAATTAAATAATTACTTGTTAATCTGTCGTAAATTAAATTAAATTACGTGTACGTTGTTTGTCCACTATCGACTCCTACTCCGACGATATCAAATATTTTGCACACCGTGTGCAGTTTGATCAACTTAAAAGATAGGATAGCTTACATTTCAATTTATATTATTTTATTGCAAAATACTTGTTTATTATTTAACAGTCACAATTCTAACAGATGGCGCTGTGTTGAAAGTACCAACGTTTCACATAAGCCACAATTCAATGGCATAACTACCAATAAAGCATGGTGGTCCCCATGACTAGTGTTCTCCTACCGTTTCCCTTGAATGTTTACACAGATTAAGAAAAACCTTAGCCACAGCAACGCTTGGCCGGTCTGCTATATTTATAATGATTCAATTTATTTCAACTAAACCGACGGTAGTATTATAAAAATATGTAATGTAACAGCTTTAAAATAAATAACGTTATATGTTTTACAGGACAGGTTCGGTGGCCGTCGATGCATAACTCAAGAAAATCCCAGTACATACCTCGCCATAATGTCTCCCTACAGAGCGTTTCTTAAACAGCATAAACACTCACTAAAATTCAATAGTGGACGTAACTACTTTATCATTATAATTGTCAAAAACTATATAAAAGTACATCTAACGTAACTCAGTAAATTCAAAAGACTAAAAAAACATATGAGAATCGGCCGAGTAAAAATATTTGGGATCACCCTCACAAATATTATAAAATTATGTATTTCGAACATAGTATAGGATTCATTTTCTTCCATATGTTAGGTAGGTATAAGGACTTCCGCTGGGAAGTTTGATTTTCATCGATATAAGACGACAAGACAGGGCCGACGGGTTATAGTTGGTAAAAAATTTAGATAACCTAAAACAGCACAGTCCCACACTTCCTACGCAATAGCACAGTCTTCCGTTAGTAAATACAAAACTTCATAATCGTAAGCTAGGTTTCATAACAAATGTAACTAATTTACCTTCAAAGGTGTAATAAAAAAATAAAAATAATAAAAAAAAGTACCTACATCTTAGGTTACAAAATGAAGAAAGAAAAAAAATCGCATACCTCGTGGGCTTAATCCTTTACACCAAGGATATGATTACTATCAGTTTACCTCGATGGCATCCCGCTCTTCTGATTTGTTAGGGCTAGTTGATCTGGTTCTTAGGGTAGGAAATTAAAACTCCAATGATGACTTGATTTACTATTTTCACACACTGACCCTACGTAAAATGTACAAACACCAACTGAACAAAGGAATGGCCTGTGCGCATTGTTACAAGCTCTTTATCATCTAGTCCCACTCTGACTCGACCTTCCCACTTCGGGCAGTTATTCGAGTCAATTCGTAACAATTCGTAATAACCGAACGAGTCAATAGTATTATTGACATCGCACTTGTAGCAAAAGAATATGTTTCAAAATTATTAGAATATAATTAATAAATAATAAAAGCTAACACTAGGCACTAGGCCACTGCTTTCTCGACAATGCACCGTTTTTTTCAAGTGTTTCGTTGTGTGTGTTTAGTGTTTTGTTCAAGTGCACAGGTGCTAATTAAAGTTGGCGCCTGGTAGATAGCACTGGTGACCCCAGAGCGGGAGCTTTCCTCGCTCAACGAATAAGAATCGCAATACAGCGAGGAAATGCTGCCTCAAAGGGATACTGCCACAGGGACCAAACTTAATAAATTTGTTTTAATTTTCAATTTATCAATTCTTTATTATTATTATTATTACTATGTATGTTAAGAATATTGTAAATACTGTATTTGTGTATTAGTTATCTAGTTTTAATTGTTAACTATGGCTAAAGATGGATTAAAATAACTTTAAATGTATTTTGATGATTATATTCCTCTAGCATGTCAAGAATTAAACAGTTGCCCTTCAAACATTCCCATTATAGGTCTCTTGGGCCTAATTCTTATGTTAACAAGGCCCCAATCCCAAATCCCTAATCTTATCGTCTATATCGTGTCTATTATCCCGAACTAATGAGATATCCTTAAGTTTTCTTGTTAACCTCTGCGATTCTAAACGTTTTGTGACTTAAGCAACGTGGCTAGAATACAATTACACGAGAATACAAGTAACAAATGTGTAATGTTGTCTTATAATCAATAATTTTAATTTTTTCCCTTTTGTAAATGTGAACCTATTTGTAATTATTATGTATTCCTTTGGAAATATTTTTAGTGTAATATGTATAAATTATTTTTGCTAT